GTGTTACTAGCTCAGCTGATTTTGTGTATGTGTTTCGCCGCACGGCTTCTGATATCAAATTGAAAAATTTTGTTTGAATTTTTACACAAAGCAAAAACAAAATACATGTAAATTTTTGTTTTTGTACTCCTGCTATCACCTTATATTAATTCGCCTTGTTTATAGGGTTTACAATGCATTTATAAGGTTTGATGAATACCCTTATTTTATTTAATTGTGGGGATTATATTTTTTACTATCGACAATCATTACCAAAAGTAGTGATTTTACACAGCAAGACATGTCATGCCATAAAAATTGCTCACAGCATCAATACCAAGTTAGAAATTGCACCACATTTTTTTGCTCGTACTGTCTGCATATCTACTTGTTATAACTTTTGTTTTGACAACGAGTAGCTGTTGAATTTTAAAAAATTGCCGTCCGAAAGAAATAAGCTGCATTTTCGCCTTTTCCAGAGTTATTTCACTACTGCTAAAAGTTTAAAGGGAATTTCGCCTATATACAAGCTATCAATATGTTAGACGAAGAATTATTTGCGGAACCTTGTTTGGAGCGCCATTTCGCCGGGCATTGCTCTGGTATTACGCAGGTGCGGTTTAGTCCGTGTGGCCAGCGTTTGGCTACCAGTTCCTTAGATATTTCCGTGATTTTGTGGGATCTAAAGCAAGCTGCGCGTTGTATCCGTTTTAGTGCGCATTCAGGAGCTGTGGATTGCGTAAGCTGGTCTCCAAAATCAAATTTAGTGGCGTCGGCGAGTAAAGATCGCACTGTGAAGATTTGGGAACCGAAAATACGCGGCGTTTCTGGTGAATTTTTGGCACATAGCAAGGCGGTTCGAAGTGTAGATTTTGATCCCAGCGGAACGATGGTAATGTGGTTAATAATAATCAGTTTATTTGTTTTCACAAAATGCATTGTAATAAGTTTTTTCGAAATCTATATAGCTAATTACAGCATCAGACGACAAAACGCTAAAACTCTGGAAAGTCGCCCAACGCAAATTCCTAACATCTTTCACTGGACATACAAATTGGGTGCGTGCAGCAAAATTCAGCCCTAATGGCCAGTTAATTGCATCGTGCGGCGACGACAAGTCGTTAAGAATTTTCGATACATCTTCAGGCGAATGTGTGCGAACGTTCACCGAGGAAAGAGGTATGGGACGACAGCTGGCATGGCATCCAGACGGTAATCTGGTGGCTTTAGCATTAAGTTGTAACCGCGTTAAGATATTTGACATAGCCGAAGGCGAGCTGATACAATTGTATCAAGTACATTCGGCGCCGGTGAATGATGTTGCATTTCACCCAAGTGGAAATTTCTTGTTGACTGGCGGCGATGACGATACAATAAGATTGCTCGATTTATTAGAAGGTCGACCAATTTATACACTAACTGGCCATACTGACAAAGTTTGTGCCGTCGCTTTCTCTCCAGATGGTAGACATTTTGCTTCCGCGGGCGAGGATCGACAGGTAATGTCTGCTTTGTGTGTGAAAAAATTATATAATATAAATTTTTTCTTTATATTCAACAGTTACTGGTTTGGAAATCTAATTTACATACATTTGATGCCAATAGCTTTCGCAACAAACAAGCCAGTTCTCAAAGAGTCCAAATAGATTTTAGTCATCCAACAGCCCCACATAACTCCGCCATAGACACACCAGCTGCTGGGGCACCAAAAGGCTGCGATGACAGTATTTTAATTGATCCACGACAATCGGTGGCATATGGAATGCGTGATGAAAATTTTCAGGTGCTTGATAGCCAATATACTACAAGAGAGCCATCTCCAAGCAGCTTCACCACACTACACCGTCAACAACACGAGTCGTTAGATAAAGTAAAAACAAACGCTTCTGCTGATAGCATCAGTAACAAAAGCAACAGCAGTACCTCGTTTCTACACATGCCAAACAAAAGTAACAACAGCGATGGCCAGAGAACACCAAGCAAATATTTTTAATTTTCATTTTTGCTTATCTTAAGATTTTTTTCGCTTAACTGCTTGGAATGCTGCTGATGCTATTGCCTCTTTGTCGAACTTAGAAAAATGAAGAATAAAACCATTTGTGTTAAAGAATGGAATTTATACCGATATCTTCATTTATTTATACCATATTTATTCATTTGTTGCCGTGTCCGAAATCTCTTTTTGACACACATTTTTTAGCATTTCTACTCTACTTAAAAATAAAATCTAGTTTATAAAATCAAATCGAAATCTGTTTCATTTATACTCATAGATATTAAACTCTGAAATGTTGCGGTGTGTTTCGACGCAAACATCAAGTAAAGGCGATTTGGAGTTAGAATTAAGCGCAATACAGACACAATTGGCGGAAATTGTTACTACGTTGCAACAGCTACAGCAAAGAATAATATTCATAGAAAATGCATTGTTTGTAATTCATTAAATGTGATGTGTACATACGTATGTATTTCTGTTTGTATTTTAAACTTTGTACGTTAACAATTTACATTGTATTAAATTATTACTTGAACACGTACAAATTGACATGATAAAAATATGCAAATTGATCTCACCTAAAGATTTGGAAACCTCTAGAAAAATAATTGAGTGTAGTTAAAATGACAATTTTTATAGTGTTTAGCAAACCATTGAACACCCCCTTACTAATTAGTTTTTTTCTTTAAATTGCATTGTTTTTCGAGTTTATTCTTTAAATTTTTGATAGAACTTTTTTTTGGATTAACATTAGGTTTGAAAATTGACGATGGCTACATTTATATTTTTATTTTAAATAGATTATTTTTTTGTAAATCGACTTTGCTTTGTAAATATGTATCTATTAATATTATACATACTGCCAATGCGAATAAATTTTTACTTATTTTTCGTTTTTGTATATTAAAATTTGTGGTTTACATTAAATGTACGATGAACTCGCTAATTATGTAAATACATATAATCTTTAAAGAGATACAATTTTACTGGTCCATTTTGTTCTTTTTATGAATTTCAATTTTAATTAAATGTATTATTTAACTATATTTGTTGAGAGTATAACTCAATGGATCATTTATAGGTAACGATTTTTTTTTTGTTTTTTTTTTATAATCGCAAAATATAAATTTAGTTGGCCTTTTACAGTTTCACTGTTAAGCCTATCGCCGCCACGTTAATTCTTGAATACTTACTTGATTACACCCATTAAACTTCCATTTTTAATTTGGCAATTTTGCGGAACTTGCAAAAAAGTTCGTTTCATTCTTTCACCCCTACATATTGCGTCGCTTTGCCAGTCTTCTTGATAGTTTCCAATAATTCATCTGAAGTCAGATTCGATGTCACAAGCACTGTTTTCGAATCGAGATCGATACTGACCTTTTCCACTTTTTCCGCTGTGCAAAGAAATAGAGAAAAGTGAAAGTAATTATGTATATACAAGAAATATGCATGTGATATGGGTGAATAGATAACTGAAACTACTTATGCAATCTTAATTGGTGTATTTGCAATCACTTTTATTTTTCCGTCCTAATTAATGCTTGGACAAAAGCACAACGCTGATAAGCAAAGATAGTTTGTTGCTAGCTTCATAGAACATATGCATACGTATGTGCATATTTGTATTATTTGCAAATAATTCGCCTTGGACATGCATTAAATTGTAAGCCCAATTAATTCATTTATAATAAACACTGCGGTTGTGTAAGCAACGCTGAAAGAACAAGTTTGCAGACGATAAAAACTACTTAAGTTCAGGGACAAATAAAAAAAAAAACTACAAGGATATCGCCAAGGAATCTAATATTATGAATATGTAATAAAAAGAGAAACACTTTGGAGCTTATTGTACATAGCGCCCAAAGCGCATCAATGGATGTATGGACGCGCCTGTTGCCATCATTATCACCCTCGCTAACGCCACTTACCACCCAACTTGTTTAAAACACGCTCCACGCTGTTGGAACATCCTGAACAAGTCATTTCCACTCTAAATTCGTGAACCTAAAACAAAATCTGTTATTTTATTTGTAAGAGCCATAATACTAGCACATCACTTACAGGCATATTACTACTCCGGGCACTATGAGATGATGACGACGATGTTTGCAAGTATAATTGCGGCAAATTCAACAGTTTGAATACTTTTTCACTGCTTTGCAGGCACCCCACAAAAAAAAAGATAATTGATTATTTTTCCTTTTGCTCGAGGTACTGTTGTCGCGAGCGGAGATCAAATTTGTAATCGAATTTGTCAAACCACTAGCTACGAGGAAAAACTTTGTTGAACAATTCAATTAACTGTTGCAAAAGAACACAACAAACTGTGCACAGGTGCAATAAAGTGGCTAATGTGGCAGAAAATATATTTTAAATCAAGCAACAATTTCACTTTGGCAATCGACTTTTCAATGTTGGCACACAATTGTGACTACGTAGCTTGTGAACTGGCGTTTGCTCCACCAGCCCCATTGGAGTGCCAACGGAGAAATGAACAGGGTGACTCAAATGTTAAATTAAATTTTGTGGCATTGCGAAGTCTTTAAAAATATTATTATGCATTTCATACTTTATTCCGATTATGTTTTGTAGCTTGAAATAAATCTATAAACTTCGCAATAAATTAATTATTTTAAAATGTTAAATATCTGTGGCACTACTATCAAACTCGTTTTCGGCTCACTCTGTGGAAACTTATCGAAACTTTCAACGACTAATGGGTCGATTACAACTGAAAGCTGAATTTTTGTGGTTACCGCAGAATTTTTATTAAGAATTTATTTCTTTATCCAACAGTTTCTTCAGCTTATTTACTGGTACTTCAAAATTATATTATCTCCAACTTAATAGGACTTTACTATAGTTGTCATTCATATATTTTCACTTCAGTGGCCTTTTCCACCGACAACCCAAATGAGGTTGCGTTGCAACCTATGATCAACCCATAACCCCTTCATTTCTCCTACCATTGCATCATTTGCATAACAGATAATACTTTCAGGTTTAATTTTTATTTATTATAGATGCTTTTAATTAGCTTGCTCTGTATGTATGTACATATGTTTGTTAGGAGCAAATCTTACAATAAATTTTTGACCAGCTTCCCGAATACCTTGGGGCTTGAAATTTCACAGTTGACTCAGAACCCGATGACGATGCAATACGACAGATGGATTAATCCGATAGGTGGCGCAAGAGTCGAGATATTTGAATAACCCGTATTTATAGTCCGATTTGGTTCGTATTTACAACTTATATTAATTTCATTAAAAGGAATAACTCCACTACAAATTTTAACGATAGGTGGCAAACGAGTCGACAATTAGGTAAACCAATATTTATAGTCCGATTTCGTTTATATTTAGATAGCTTGCTTTAAAAATATTTGTTTTTACTATTAACTTATTTAGTTTAAGAATGCTTTACTCTAATTTTTAATGTCACTTCCATTTCCTTCAACTCAATTGCTGCTGTACTTGCTATACAGTAAAGATGTAATATCAAACTCGTATAAAATATCCTGTCACTAAAGTTAATTTGAATCCATGTACCAATCATATCCACTCAGTCTATAAAAAGTTCATACAAACAACACTTTCCACCATCTCAAAGCTCCGAATGGCATTATAATTGACAATTCAGTATTTATTTATGTTGAAGAGACGCACTCCATGGAACTGTGGTAATTTGGGCAAAGTTACTAGTACAAGGGAAATGAAGTTTGCAATAAAGTGATCGGGATCATTCCTTGTATAGATGCAGGTGAGCAGGAATCTATGAAACAGGAGTTAAGAATTTATCCAACCATATTTTTATTAACTTTGCATAGGCTAGTTACTTACAAAATAATGGGAACCGCCGTAAGGAATTTACGTGTTGTGGTAAATTGTTCACCATCGTCGATTTGCTCCCAATGTGTTAGCCGACGCGCACAGTCATTTTCAATGCTTAACCATGGAGCTCCCTTAATAATGTGCAAGAAGTAAAAATGCGCCTATGATGCAAAAATAAAAATGCTTTCAACATTATCTTCTAAAATGCTTATTGGAACACTTACGGCATTGTGCAGCAAGTTTGTTATAGTCCATGCCATTGGAATGCTTATGAATGGAACTGACAATAGTATCAAATGTACTGCCAACACGCCCAAAGTGTACGCCAACCACATACCACGCGCACCCAGCCAACTAGCATTGGGATTGGGCTCGCCGTGACCACCAGCAATAGCTGTCATTTTTAATGGTTTTTTAACTTTTGATAGTAAAAAGAATATATATTTTTTACGTTATTTATAGAGAAAACCAATGTTTTCGTTTTACGATGATTTTACAATTTGACAGATACTCACATATAACAGCTGATGCAAATCTGGTGCAAGTGTTGCAAACATGGCACAACCAGTGTTGCCGTTTGCACCATATACTTCAAAGCTGATACGTGTTTGTCCAAATTTTTGGAAGATACTTTATTCTTTCGCAAATTTCGCGAGCTACTTAAATTTTCCGCGAAGTACAAATTTTGATACATGAAAAAGAGAAAGTATTTATGTATGTATGCAGTGGCAGCTTTAAAAATTTTATCGAAAATATTTAAACATTTTGGGGTCAAAGAAGCTTAAAGAAATATGCTTTAAATGAACTATGTATAAATAGCTGACTTGATTCATTTTTAATTTACTTAGTTACCTCATAAATAGCTCTGCAGCTGCAGAGCGAATATTTTTAGATTTATTTTTTTTATTTTCTTTTTTTCATATCCAACACAACAACCATAGGATATATCTCAGCGTAACAAAATATTTTACATCTAAAACTTATTTCTAAAGCAAGTACACTTAAAATAGAAATAAGCGAAAATCAAAATTAAAAGTAAGAGTTAATGCAAGGTTTTTGCTGCATTTAAAATGTAACATTTAGAACTTTCGAACATATGTTTTCGAAGACGGTTCATGCCATCGCATCTAGAAAATATACATTTACGCGTGTTCGAAATCGTATGCTTTTGACAAACATCCGTGTTCCAGTCTCTGAAATGGCAAAAGGAAATTTTAAACCAAAAATTGAATACAAAAACTTGAATTGTTTTACCCATAACCGAAAATTTGTTTGTGTGTCCATTAAAACTTCCTCAATTAATGAGGCAATACATAACAGCAAAAAGTCGCAGAATTATGAAAAATATGTTTTGGGTATATGAAATTTACTCCAAACGACACTAAAAAGGTGTTTGCATTGTTCAACTTTGCATTCAACTTTTGGTTGAATGGCCTTTCAACTAATCGCTTTCAACAAAGTTGGGCGCCAGCCAACATTTAGCCATTCAACTTTTTTTCGTGCAACCCTGCGTTGAGTTGAACGCAATTGTTGAACGCATAGTTGAATAATGCAAACACTGCTTAACGGCGGTTTGCCGAAATATGTATTGCCTTTAGTTTGACAACTAATACATATTCTCAATTGTGTTGTCTCATGTAAACGCAGTGTTAGTGCAATAAAAACGATCCTCAAACGTTTTTTCGTGCACTGGAGTACTTCGTTCTTCGAACAGACCTATGATTTACGAGCTCAAAAATACAACCATGGAAAACAGCTGTTTTGTATCCTTTGTTTCTTTTTAGTATTCTTTTTAAATTTTCTTCCACTGATTCATTCATAATCTTGAAAACTGAATTCGTTTTGGAATATTTGCATCATAAAGATTAATAATGGTGTAGATTTGAATATAGTCGTTTTAGCAAAGTAATTTTTTTTTATAGTCCGCTACACGGTGTTGTATATACATCGCGTTATAAACCCACTTGTTCTATTGCAAGGGGTACGTATACACAAATAGTGCAATTATAGCAAAACACAACGGCGTCGGAAGGTGAAGAAGTCTTGAACGAACACACGCCACTAATGGACGGACACGTCGGCGCTAGCAGCAGTACGCATTTGAGCGCCAGTGGCGGTGTGACAAATCGGAAGCGAAACAATTATGGTGCAAATGAGGAAGTGGATGGGGTAAGAACTCGATGAAAATCAGGATTCAATTAAAAATATCAAAATTAGACTTTATGTACATATAACTACTGCAAAACTTTATAGGCTATATTGGAAGTACCTAATGTAGTTGTACGTTCAACTGGACGACGGACCAGAGCCAGTGGAACTGGTGGTGGGGACGGTGGTAGCGCGACAGATGACTGTCCACGTCGACCTACTGCTGACGAACTAGATGAAGAGGGCCTAAAATATGGAGCTCAGCATGTTATTAAATTGTTCGTGCCCGTATCCCTATGTATGCTTGTTGTTGTGGCTACTATAAATGCAGTGAGCTTCTACTCTTCAACAGATGTTTATCTGTAATATGAAAAAGTGTTTATATTACGTATATGCTCAATATGTATTTTTTGCAGCTTGTATACACCTTTCCATGAATTATCGCCAGATCCTGGCGTTAAATTCTGGAACGCTTTGGCCAACTCTATGATTCTCATGGGTGTAGTTGTAGCAATGACTATTTTGTTGATTGTTCTGTACAAAAAACGCTGCTACAAAATCATACATGGTTGGCTTATCCTCTCTTCATTCATGCTGCTATTTATTTTCAGTTATCTCTATCTTGAGTAAGTTCTTCAAATATCGCACTATTTGAACTTATGCTATGATCTATCTTTTTGTAGGGAGTTGCTACGCGCTTATAATATTCCAATGGATTACCCCACAACGATAATGATACTTTGGAATTTCGGTGTCGTNTCAAATGAATATAATAAAAAAAGTTGTAACCTTTAGATTTGATTGCTGTCCTTGCACCGAAGGGACCTCTGCGCATTTTAGTGGAGACAGCTCAAGAACGCAATGAACAAATATTTCCTGCTTTAATTTATTCTTGTAAGTTTACTGCTCTATATGTTCATTCAAGAAAATATTTAGCAGGAAAGATCTTTTTTTCACTGATACTTTTTTTCACATTAACTTTGTTAGCCACTGTTATGTACACAGTGATGGGCGTTAAGCCTTCCAATGAAGCGAGTGGTGGCAAAAGTGACGAGAGCGTCGAGAACGGCACACCACAAGCAGTCAGCGAAGAGCAAGCCTCTTCCTCCGCCGGCTCGGCACGTCGCACAGGTAATACCAATAACGAGGTGAAAGACGACGCAGCCCAGGCCGCCGAAGGTATGCCTCTTGTCACATTTAAAATCCGCGGAAATGGTATTTATCCCAAAATATATTTTTTTAAATTTTATTCATTGCGCTTTTTGATAAGTAGTATTGGTGGCTTGTGGGTTTTCGACTGCCTCATTATAATTTGTTTGCACTTATGTATGTTTGTGCATGTCGTTACCTTAATATAGAAAGGCCTTATATAACACATCTGTCTCTGCAGCGTAGTTATACAACTTTATAAAAACTAAAGTTCTTCAGTTTCTGTTGTTTACCCTTACCCTGTTTTTAAATAAATGTTGGAACTAATTTATTGATATAGTTGATTTTAAATTCGATTAAGTCTTTAGTAGGTAACTTAACAACTTTAGTATAGTGCTGAATTTCGAAAGAAAATGAGTTAGGTCCTTTCTATAATAAGGTAACGATATAGCTACAAACTTAGTAGAGCCGCGAGCATAGAGTATCGGACGAAGCGTCGATTACAAACGTGTATAGCTCAATGGGAGCGCACATAGTGAACAACAAAGCGTAGATATATGCACTCCCATTGAAATATACACGTTTGTAATCGACGCTTTGCTCGATGCAATGCTCTTCGCTTCGGTCGCCATTCCACTATGTGTTTAGCCTTATCAAACTACTTACTAAAATTTCTCTGTCTAATACTTCATTCTTTTTCATTCATAGTATACATTTGGATGAATTTATTATTATTTTTAGTTAATACATTTCCTTGTCTTTATTAGTAGTGCAAAATTTTCAAAATCGTAAAAAAACACTTTTCTAAATAAGTTTTAACTTATTATATAGAAGCCGGATTCACCCAAGAATGGACAGATAACCAAAATGAACGTACTTCGCGACGACAAATCGAGGTACAGGCTAGCAACGGACAAAATGCTAATCGATCAACTGAGTATCGCACAACTACTGCTAGGGCAAACACATCCGGCACGCCACTTGAGGAGCAAGAACGTACGTAAACTCGAAGGAAATCGTAGTCTACTTTACAATTAAATTTTATTTCAGGCGGCATCAAACTGGGTCTTGGTGATTTCATATTTTACTCTGTGCTAGTTGGCAAAGCATCCAGCTATGGTGATTGGATCACTACTATTGCTTGCTTTGTGGCTATATTAATTGGGCTTTGTTTAACACTTTTATTATTGGCTATATGGCGCAAAGCTTTGCCTGCTCTACCCATTTCTATTACATTTGGCTTAATATTTTGTTTTGCCACCAGTGCTGTGGTCAAGCCGTTCATGGACACTTTGTCTGCTAAACAAGTGTTCATATAAAGACATTTTATTCCAATAATTATGCTGTACTGTTTTATAGAGTAGATAAAACCTAGCTAAAAAAATCACGGAAAGTTGATAGAGCTTTTTTTAATTAAAATCCATTTCATGTTTACAATATTATATTTATATTCTAATGCTACTTATTGAAGACCTATGTATGTAGCTAGATATTGGGGGTTTTCAATTTATCCAAAAAAAATTAAATTCAACTAATATACTCCTTTTTGTGAAAAAACACGCAATTACAACAGGATTTTTTATTTTTACTTAGAACAAAATGATTTGCACATGCTAAAGACGAATCTAACTTGCTTTGGCATCGTTATCCTCACGAGTTTTTCAGAGTTGGCTTGTTCTTCGGGGAAGCCCTTTGACTTAACCACAATTTTGTCTTTGAGACTTATCACCCATCCAGGTTCCAATCCATAGAATATTTGTCGGTCATCTTTTTGGCTTATCAACATTTCATAATCGGGGTCATCTTCAATACACCTTAGTTCATATCCATACTTTTGTGCTAGTATCAAGCTAAAAAAATTCCGGAAAGTTGATAGAACTTTTTTTTAATTAAAATCAATTTCATGTTTACAATATTATTTATATATTCTAATGCTCCTTATTGAATACCTATGTTGCTAGATATCTGGGGTTTTCAATTTATCCAAAAAATAATTAAATTCAACTAATATATTCCTTTTTGTTAAAAGAAAACACAATTACAGCAAGATTTTTTTATTTTTACTGCGAACAAAATGATTTGCACATGCTAAAGACTAATCTAACTTGCTTTGGCATCGTTATCCTCGCGCTTTTTTTCAGAGTTGGCTTGTTCTTCGGGGAAGCCCTTTGATTTAACAATAATCTTGTCTTTGAGACCTATCACCCATCCAGGTTCCAAANCGTTCATGGACACTTTGTCTGCTAAACAAGTGTTCATATAAAGACATTTTTATATATTCCAATAATTATGCTGTACTGTTTTATAGAGTAGATAAAACCTAGCTAAAAAAATTCCGGAAAGTTGATAGAACTTTTTTTTTAATTAAAATCAATTTCATGTTTACAATATTATTTATATATTCTAATGCTCCTTATTGAATACCTATGTTGCTAGATATCTGGGTTTTTCAATTTATCCAAAAAATAATTAAAAATTCAACTAATATACTCCTTTTTGTTAAAAGAAAACACAATTACAGCAAGATTTTTTATTTTTACTGCGAACAAAACGATTTGCACATGCTAAAGACTAATCTAACTTGCTTTGGCATCGTTATCCTCGCGCCTTTTTTCAGAGTTGGCTTGTTCTTCGGGGAAGCCCTTTGACTTAACAATAATCTTGTCTGTGAGGCCTATCACCCATCCAGGTTCCAATCCATAGAATATTTGTCGGGCATCTTTTTGGCTTATCAACATTTCATAATCGGGATCATCTTCAATACGCGGTAGTTCATATCCATACTTTTGTGCTAGTACCAAGCGCTCTTTACTTATTTGTTCGGGGTCGGCGAGATAGCCACGATTTTTAGCTGATACATAGTACTCGACGGCATCTTGTGGTGGTAGCAAACGCTTTGGAATAGGAACACCTTTCTCAAACCATTTTTTTGGATTCACCAGCATCTTTTATCAGAAAGGAAATAATAAAGCTTATTACATGGTCATAAAACACATATGTATGTATCATATTGCCTTACCTGCAGACTTCTGGGGTCATAATAAGCCGTTCGTATCNAGCAAACGCTTTGGAATAGGAACACCTTTCTCAAACCATTTTTTTGGATTAACCAGCATCTTTTTATCAGAAAGGAAATAATAATAAAGCTTATTACATGGTCATAAAACACATATGTATCATATTGCCTTACCTGCAGACTTCTGGGGTCATAATAAGCCGTTCGTATGACACCACCATTTCGTTCAATTGCAGCTATCACAGACTCTTTTGCATGCTGTACTTCAATACAGATTTTTGCTTTGAAACGATCTATGCCTTCATCGGTTAGCTGAAAACCATATTCCATGCTTGCGGGCTGCAATTGTAAGAGTCCTGTATTACACAATGTTGTAATGTCGATGGGTTGTTTTGAATCGATGCGGTTCGTGTCCACCAACACTTGCAGCTGTAATAGTGATATTGGTGGGTATTGACGACGCACGTGGTGGCCCTTGTAATATGGTTCATAGGGGAAGCGCAAATAGAAGGGATTGTTGCCTGTTTCGTAACCAAGGCGCATATAATTCTGACGCTGTCCTGAACCCTTATTTCCAGCGCCGTGTTTATCACCACTGTGTTGAGCACGTCCACGTTTCGTCTACAGTATTTATGTTAAAAATGTTAACATTTATTTATTGTTTTAATTTTTTCCATTAAACACTTACAGGTTTCTTGGAGTTTGGATTTGGGCGTATATTGCTAAGTTGAACACGAGGTAATGCACGTAACATCTTTAGAGCCTTGTCGGCCGATTCGCGTAGATGCGCCATTTTTCAAACAAGTATTTTATTTCTATAAACTTTTTATTTAAAACCAACTTTTTCTTTGAGGAAACCTCACATTTCCAGCCGGGCCCCCTAACTTGCTGTTTATGTCAAAAGCAGCTGATTGTAGAAATTTCAAGAATCTGGCAATACCACAAAGTGCGGCCAAAGCTCCAAATTTTCTTTCTTTGGACAAGTGCATTTACTGCATTCAGTTTCTTATTTATTTTAATTTTGTGTGAGAAACATTCCATAAATAATTATATCAATGCCACCAGCTAGACTGGATTTCGACTTAACGGATAGGGGTTGGGTTGATTTATATGTGAAGAAATGTGAATCGATCATGCAAGAATTCACTGGCTATGTTCATGGTAGGTAATTGCATGATGGTGCAATAAACAATTTACTAATTTCACTAAATTTCTATAGCTTTGCAAAATAGTTGCATTAAAGAACGTGATAGATGTGAACAACTGGATAAAGACTGCAAACGTTTGCAAACTGAAGTAAAAAAGATTACGCAGGAGAAAAATAAGCCACAAAAGTCATCCGAAAATCAACTTGCGCCATACACGCCGGAAGATCGGAATAACGTAAAAGATGAGCTATTAGGTATCACAGAAATTAGGACTCCAAAGGAGTCTGATGTGGATCGAACTACCATTAGTGATGGTTCGCCCGCATTTCTGAATATGGCAATGGATAGTGAACAATTACAAATTGATGCCTCTTGCGTTTTAAGTCCAGCACAGCATCGGGAAGAAATAGTCGCTGCAACAGAGCAATTAAATAGTCCGACTCGACTATCCATTCCAATGGATAGTATTTTCCAGCACAACACTTCGCCAACTTGTAAACTAAAAACTAATAACGAAAATAAAAGCGCCTTAGGATTTTTAAAGGCGCGTGGTCGCGTTGGCAAAGCTTTGCTTAGTGACATGCGAGAACACAATCTGCGTGAACACAATTGCGAAGAGAGTGAAGATGATGTCCATAGTAGACTGTGGAAGAATAAAGGAAAGCTGCAAGCAAAACGTTCCGATTGGTTGGGGAAAGGCCCGAAAGGGGCAGAGCGTAAAGCTGCTGTAAAACGAGTATCTACCGGTATGGACGATATACAGCGCAAGCGCGCCCTTTTATCGCTAAATAAAAGTGGAGAACGCAAATTGAAGCAATCGCGGTTAACGCAAATAGTGCCGTTGAGGGCAAATAAATTTCGAAATGTAAGCTAAGAGTCAGCTTATAATATATCTATAGTATGTACAACTTTTGGTTTAATAAACCTTAAATTCTCACCCACTAGGAAAGCGTTCTTACCACACCAGAATATGCAGAGGACGCACAGAAGTTATCACTGTCTCCTACATTACCTGCTGATACCTTTAGCAAACAAAAATTAGATTTTCCGTCATTTTCCAGTGAAACGGCCGACATATTCCACTTTAGCAGTGATGACGAAGACGATCAGTGCACTAAATCAATAAAGGCTAAAACTGCAGTGAAAGAGCGATGCCAAAAGTCCATTAATGGAATATTTTTGCAACCATTGCCACACGAAACAGAAAAGTCCGAAAGTATTTTGGCTATAACGCCTACAGCACCGCCAATAATATGCTTAGACGAGTCAGATGACAATGAACAGGTGCTAGAAAATAAGATGCAAACTAAAAAGGGTACAAGAAATGCGATAGTGAATCATGAAAAAACTGCAAATGTAAAAGTTAAACAAGAAAAGTCAACTAGGGAATTGGCTGCGGCTATGTTAGCCGAATGGGAAGAGGAGGAAGAAGAGGATATGGCAGATAAATCGTCCACAACAAAATTGGAATGCGAAACCAAACTCGACATTAAGCCACGTCCTTCGCAGCTACCTGCAGCGAAAATATCAATAAAAGAACATTTCAATATAGAATGTGATGAGTGTCAAAAAGTAATTTTTACTTTTTATATTTAAACTATTTAGGGAAAATACATAAGAACACACATTAATATATTATCCCTTGGTATTTTTTTAGTATATCGACTTTATGGGCAGCAATATGAGCCTGGCAGAAATCGAGGCACATCTGCGCCGTTGCACACTCCATCGCACTACGAAAGATTGTATACCAGTTACGCCGCCAGATTACTGGAACCCATTAATGCCATCGTTTTCCGATAGTGATCCACGCAATAAAACACTACTTGTGGATCCATGTTTGCATCGCAAGCGTTATGGCGATAAATCGTGATATAAACTACATAATAATTCCAATAGGTGATTTAGAATTTTTGTTTTATTATTTTGCATTACCAATGTAAAAATATATTCTATATTAAATTTCTATGCATATTTTTTTTTTACTTAAGGATTAGCGTGTATGTATGCATATGATACTGAATTCTATAAATTGCCACGTTTTGCCTGTTCGATCTCAATTGCCGTGAACAGGGACTTGAAGTTGCCAGCGCCAAAACCCTTGAAAAAAAAAATAATAAATCACAGTCAAAATAAGAACAAAAATTTAAATTAAGGATACATGTGGACGATTCTAGCAAAAAGTAAGGTACATTCAATATGCATCAATTTAACTTTATTTTAAGAAAGTTCTTTATTTTTTAACGAAGCAAAGTAATACTGGAAATAGCCATTATTAGTATACACCTTTAGTTAATGAACCTTTGCATCAAATCAAGTCTGTTTAAACCCATTTATTTATGAATATATGTACTTTGTATTAAATAAACATAGATATGTTTGTACCTACTACACATGTTGGTTCAACTAAAAATGCTTCTATACTCACATTGTGATTGTGTCGCTGAATGACCTCTATGAACAAGGTTGGTCTATCTTGCATATTTTTTGTGAAGATTTGCAGCAAATACCCATCTTCGTCGTAATCTATTAAAATATTTAACTCTTTCAATAGCTCCATATCTTCTTTGATCTTTGTACGACTATTCTTCAAATTCGCTTCCAAAATGTCATAGTAGGAACTTGGTATTTTTAGAAATTCTAAGCCCCGGGTACGTAAATTACGCACCGCTGTTATAATATCGCTGGTGTTGAGTGCAATATGCTGTACACCTGCACCACCATAGTATTCCACATACTCTTGAATTTGTGATTTCTTCTTGCCTTTTGCTGGTTCATTGATGGGCATCTTTACGTTCTCCTCATAGTTGGCCATAACAATGGAACGCAGTGCAGAGTAATCAGTGTGTATTTGAGAATCATCGACTGACCAAAAACGATGGAATTGCAAAACGCGTTCATACCAAGCAGCCACGCTCTCCATCTGCAAATCAGGTTGATTACCAACGACGTGGTCGATGAAGTCAAGTTTTGTGGGCGGCAAACCTTTAAGTAGATTGTCGGGCGCGGGTGTTATGAAGCCAGGCAGAAATTTGCCATTGTATTTAGTACGATCGACGAATGTATGAGTACTGTCGCCGTACTGGGGATTGAACAAATATCAACGAAAGATTAAAATCTCAAATTATAGAGGGGCTGGGAATAATTTTTCAATTTTTTTTTTATTTTGTTCAAGCTTTCACACTCACCGTTTTAA